ATTATCTTGTGCTTATAAATTAATAAAATATTTAATATTTAAATACTTAAAAAATTGAGAATAATTCTTAATTTGTTCCTATAGAATTTTAAGAATAACAAAAAATATATGTGCAGTTTTATTTGTTTAATTTTGATTATATTGATTATTAGGTAGTTAAAATTGTCTATTTTATAAGATTAGAAAACTTTTTCGTGTTCAATTATTTATCATGAAATTCAAATAAACTATGCTATAGAAGCAAACATTAGTTACTTTATAAATAATAAAAAAAAAAAAAAAAAACAAAAAAAATTATTTCATAAGTGTTATGTACTGCTGGATAATTTCTTTTAATTTCTCTTACATAATCATAGTTTACATTATCTACCCACGTATTAATATTCACTCGTTTTTAGGAGAGCTTGAAAGACTTTCGAGGGATCTCAAGACCTCCCAAGTTTCTTCTCGATTCTTCACAACGACGTATAACCTGTTTATAAAGCAGTAGCAGGTATTTAAATTTATAATTTATAATTTGCAATGTGTCGGTTTATATAAAATACATATCGCACAAAATATTGTATTTTATCGAACGTCTTATTTTTTTTTTGTACAAGTTTTCTAATTATATGTACGGTTGGTTCTTTTTATGCACAATAAATTATGTATATATTATACTCGTACGTGCTAGGTTACTATATCACACTTGTTGATGACATCTACAACGACGAGTAAATACCTTTGCGAAACGTCGAGACTAGCATAAATATAAAATAATATAGTTATAGATCTATATAGTATATTGTACTCGTGTATAGTGTATACATGTGATCGACGTTTGGTGCCCGGCGCGCACACCTTGTTATACCACATAGGTAGGTTGTAGGTAGGTACTTATAATTTTTTTTGTCAGCCGATTTCGATTAATCGATATCGCAATTTCCGTTCGATTAAACATAATTTTTTTATGGTTATTTAAACACCTTCACCTCAAGTTCTTTGTTCGATCATACCTAAAACGTTTTCAATCATACACACACCCGTTACATGATTAATAATTAATAATATAATAAACTAAATACAATTTTACGTGTCTTGATAGTATAATACGAGTATAATTCGGCAATACGGAGTAGATCAGTCGCTCATACTGTAAAACAAATCGTATTAGGTTTCATGTTATCGTACTATTAGGTGAAATACACATACAAAATTAAAATATTTACTACAGATGATCTCGTGGATAGGATTTTTATAAATTGTAGGCACAAAGCACATAATATTGCACAGGTATTGAGCACTTGAATTGAACAATTATGAAATTAGTAATTAGTAACCATCATAAGTATTCGTACTATTCTTATTATGTCAGAAATTTATAAAAAATTAGTTTTTGTTTGTATATTAGTATACCAATAATTCTTGTGCCATGACATCGAGATCTTATTTAGGATCAACTCTTACCTTTAGTCACGGGCTAGTGGTTATTTTACATTCACCAAGTCATATAAGTTAAATATCTCCTTTCTTTAATTATCGAAAACTCCCACGGATTCCATCGTTGCAGATTTTTGACTTGGACTTGTAGACATTGTAGCGGTATAATAATGACTGTAAGCTATGGAGATGATTAACATACAGCATTTTTCATACGTACAATGTATAATAGAAACAATCAAAAAATTTTTTTTTATTGATACATAATGTTTATTATACATGGCGAATTATACAAATAAAGAGTGTTCTGCGGAGATAAAAATTTCTGTTATGCATATGATAACTCCTCATTTTTACTGTAAATTGTTTAGCGAATAATTTATTTTTCTGAAAATATTGATATATTAACAAATATTCAAACGAGTAATTTTTGAGGTGTATTTAACATTGTGTATTATAATTTTTAAGGGAAATAGTTCAATGATACTGTGTGCATTGGTTCAATAGAAGTAATGGTGATTTGAAAATGATGATAATCAACACTAGTCTAACAGCGTTCATAATTTGTGAAAATATTCCAAGTATAATAATTAATATTAGATACAACATTAAATCTATTTTATATTTTTATAAAAACATTTGATAAATTTTAAAATATGGTTTTTGAGTTTATATTTTAATAAATCCGTTTTTCAAGGAAAAAATTGAGGTTAAGTTTGCTAGATAAATCATCTTGATTAATTATATATATAGAAAGCTATCGAAAAGTATAATTTTATTGATTGAGGAAAATATTGGAAATTAGATTATATTTTAATGCATATAAATCTGGTGTAGTATTTGCATAATAATTTCATATATTATTATTATTATAAAAGACAATTCTATTATTAAAGAAAACTAGTTATTTTAAAATCACTAGGTATTAACGTTAATGAAAATATATTTTTTGAATATTTTACACAGTCATAAAACAACATTTTTGAAAAAAAAATGAATATTTTTTATTACTTTTATAAACATTTTTAATTTTATGACCAAATTATAATATTTTTTGTAATATTTAAAAATATTATAAACATTTATATTCTGTTAGTTATTAATATTTACATTTAAATGAGTGGTGTGGAGTTGCATAGCTAGAGATACTTCACAAAATATCAGTCAGTAGTTAAGTTGCTAATCTTGACATCGAAACTGTAAATAATTAAAACTGCCTTGTGAACTACTGATTCAAAATTTGATTTTTATATGTTAAAATATTATCTTATGAATATAGGATTAAAAATATCATTATTATTCAAAAAGATAAAATGTATATCTAACTTTCAGGAGATGAAAATAATCAACCGTTAAGTGGCAGAGATTCGGTCAAATTTTAGGGGTCGGTTTACACTTAAATAGTCAAATAATTTCTGTAATACAGATTTCCTTATCTTTAATTTCTGCGTAAATTGATAGCTTTGTTGAAAATAATACATATACAATGACTTAAAAAAAAAATGTTTTATGTAAAATAATTTTCAAAACTATTATATTATATTACATTAATTTTAATCGCCCAAAAATTATTCGATCAAATGTCAATGTTTATGTAGGTACACGCAATGCAGGGAATTAAAAAAAAAAAAAAATTATGTGCTTAACAATTTTCAATAAAAAAGGATAGTTCTAACTTAGAAAAAATAATTTTGTATCGCTGGAAACTCCTTAAAATTAAAATGGCATAAAAAGTTGAAGCGGGTATCTGTAAATTTAATTTTTAAATAAACTTTTAGTTTTTGAACAAATTAATTGTCATAAGATAAAAGGGGTATTGTGAATCAAACTTTACATAAATCCGCGTGCGAGTACATAAATTCAATATATGTATTAAGTATACTTACTAGTGATTAGCGTGGTCGAGTTCTTTACAGTATTTATTGCATATTTTGTAAACTTTTTGTCTGGTATATATATTTAGGTTTGTACCTAATAGGTACCTATCTACTTTAATAACTTCGATCAAACTTGTAAATAATTGATATTTCGGAAATAAAATTAAGCACACATGATAATATTAAAACCAATGCGTATACATTATATAAAAACTAATGCACCACGTGTTCTGCATTAGGTATGAAAGAAATAGGTAGGTATACATTAAAGGTGGACACTTGGTTGAATTATTTTTTTTTGGCTAGCATTATTCAAAGTATGTGTGAAGTAGCCTGCACACCGATTACTGTTTACATGATCCAATAATATTGGATTTCTATTAAAAACAATATTATATTGAATACCATTGGAGGGAAGCTATTAAAGTTTCTGGATGCTAAGTCTCCAGAATAGTCCCTTTTTCAATGACCATTTATGCGAAGTACACATAAACACAAAGAAGCGGACCCTGAAAAATACTGCAGCGCTGGCAACAATGAAATAACAGATACATAATGTATAATATGTACGATCATAAAAAAAGAACGATTTTATTAGTACAAAAATTGACCTCAAAGAAGTTTGTATTATTATTAAAAATAATATTTTTGTACAGAGTAAAATGAACGACACAATTCGACAGTAATAATAATTATCATATACAATATTATTATTTCAATAAAAAATAATAACTAAAAAACGTAAGGGTACAAATTGAAAAAATATTTTGTTTTGATCATAATATGAAATACACAGTTTTACATTAGCACTACACATGATGTCTGAGACTTAAGTAATTACAAACAAAAAAAAAAAAAAAGAAAAAACTCACTGTACAGTGTACAACAATGCATTTTAATATAAAGACCATAAAACAGTTATGGCCTATATTTTAAAAATATGTTTTTTCTTTAATGAACACAAATTATTTGATTACACATAATATCAATAACAATATACAACATTAAATCCATAAGTTCCGTAACGCTCTGTCATATCTCCGTAAATCCCCATTCCCCCTCCCCCCGAAAAATTATAAAATAGTGAACACGATACTTGTTATAAACGTACGTATATTTTTTTTTAAAACATTGTATTTTGGAATGCTTTGCTGTCTTTAGGCTTTAAAAATGTCACGAGAACTGGAGATAAAAATTTGAGTTTAACAGTTATATATATATATATTTATATCGCGTTGTATGGAATGTAAATCGATTTTATCATTCCACTTATACACAGGTTTGATTTCGGTCAAATGAGTTCATAATACAATAAAAGCACAACCTTCCTCTTTTTTTCTATATATATATTATATAAAAAAAAAACAACTACCTAATGTCGTAATGATATGATTAGAGTCTTAAAAAAAAAAATATATATGTATTAAAAATCGAGAAAAAATTACAGACTTTCGCGTGATTATAATATTATAATAAATCAACACTAAAATAATATATTTACATTTTTTTTTTTTTTTTTTTTTTTTTTTTTTTAATATTTGCTCTTTAATATTATTTAATCATCGTTTTCCTCGATACATTTAAAAGGAACAATAATACAAAATAATAGTCTAAAAAAATTATTCAATTTTTTTTTTTTTTATATGTACATACAAATATAGAAGTGATTAAAAAAAAAAAAAACAATTCCTTACGTATATATAAAACGAAAAAACTTAATAAATTAAATGTTCGTTCGTATGGAACACGTGATTAGAAAATATAATCAATTATAAACATTCGTTAAGCGTGATCGGCTCGACCAATGAAATATTTCAGTACACATATAATATTATGCTATACATACTATCAATATTTTTATGGCACAAACATTTTCATGCATGATTTTCTTATACATGTATAATGTGTATTATATAATAAGATATATACATCCCTCTAGTCCGTGTATCGATTACTATTAATTTTAGATTAAATATCATATAATGATATAATATAGAAAGGTATACGTAAGACCGTGATATTAATCAATATAACACGACATACTGTACGAGTGTATCTGTATATACCCAGAAACAATAATGATTTATATAATAGTATTGTATATATATTATTATAATAATAAAATAAATTATTAAATTTTTTACACTGTACATAAAAAGGGACGTTTACAACCAAAAATATTCGTAGTTTTAAAACATGGTAGTGCAATAAAATTTAATGTAAAAAAATCATAAGATTTTTTTTGTTTTTAAATTACAAAAGAAAAACACAACGTAAACAAATATAAACAATTTTTTTTTTATCACAAAGACGCCGCGAAATAACAATTCATGGAGGTTTTCATTACCGTCAGCAGTTTAGTAATGCATGTTATACGTGCATGTATTATTATTTCAATTTTTAACACAGACCACGTAAAAATTGCACTAGCCGATTACATTTTTTTAAACTATCTTTTTAATTTCTATCCTCAATCAAAATCATTACCGAAACGACACAAACAAAAACTCATACCACATTTTCTTCTATTATATTATAATAATAATATACATATAACTCCCTTAGTCGGCAGCAAGAGAGTTCTATATAACAAGCATAATATTAATATTATTATATTTATTTACAAACAAGAGAATTGTCTCATAAGACGTTTATACTTATTTGACTTGTTCCCAATTTTTTTTTTTTATTATCATTTTTCAAACACACTTATCATTAATATATTATGCATACCAGCGGTGTTACCTCAAACTGCGTCGGCGATATCGTCGTCGTCGTTTTCCGTTTCGATTGCGCGTTCGGGTGAAGCAGTGGACGCCCGATCAGCGACTGTTTCGTGTTCGGAATCGTCTTGCTGCTGATGACGGTGTTCCTGTTCGTCCGGAGACTTCTCGTCTTCGCTGTTCGCAGCTGAGTCCTGACATGATGGTGGCGTGGCTGCTCGGTCTTCCAAATGGTCTTTTCCGTCGTCTTCGGCCCCAGCTACTTGCGGTGAACCTTCCGGACTGCAGTTGTCGCCGCCACTGCCATCTCTACATCCTCCATCTCCCTTCATAGCGTTTTTAGCAGCCGCTTGGACTGCCGCCATAGTAGCCGCTGACTTAAGTCCCGTTTCCAGACTGGACCTGATGATACCGTCCAGGAAGCTGCCATTGTCCGTTCCGTCATATAGGTTTTCAGCTACCTCGCGGGCGTTTTTTCCCAAACTGGCGATGGATGCAGCAGCCACGGCTGCGGCCTGGTGGTGGTGTAACCGTGACTCAGCTTGCATCCGTTGCATCATCGACATCGGTGGGAACGCCACCGGATTACGCTGGAACTCCATAGGCATGTGGAACGGGTTTGGGGCCCAAAACGGGAACGATGGCTGATACGGTCCCACCGGGCTTGCGGCGTCAAACATTTTGAGCCCATTAGGTGTCTGAATCGATGACGGTTGTTGTTGCGCCGAAAACTGGACGTGCGCGGGCATTTTAATAGATGGCGGAGTGGCAGAAGACGAGGAAGACGAGGTAGTAGTCGTCTTGTCAATTGGCCGGACGACCGACGAAAGATCGGACGATGACTTTTTCCGATCTGAATGCTGGTCGGCGACAACTGCTGCGGACACTGACGATGAGGACGGAGGGTTCTTAGGCTCCCGTTTCCTGGGCCGCATCAGATGTCTCTCCTTGACCTTGTACTCGAGCGTAGAGTGTGGCACGCCGTAATAAGATCCAGCCCGGTGCACGCTCATTTCACCCCGCTGCACCGCTCGCACAGCTTCTACTAGACTGTCCCGGTCATAGTTTCGGTATTTGCCTCGCTTGGGCCTGGTGCCCTTGCCACCGGCAGCTGCCGCAGCCGCAGCAGCAGCCGCCGCCGCCGCAGCTGATGCCGAGTTGGAAGACGACGATGAGGAGCTACTCGTGTGGAAGCCAGCGCCAGCGGACGAAGACGTTATAACCGACGATGATTTGTTGGTAGGCGTCGGTACTCGTTTCCGACAATCATCCTGCTGCAAATTATTGTTGTTATGGTTCCTAATGACGGAGTTTCCGGTACCGAAGGAAGTGGATATGCCATGTTGCTGTAGATGATGATGGTGTTGTTGTTGTTGATGATGATGGTGGTGTTGTTGTTGGTACTGTTGATAGGCTCGAGCGAACGATTCGACGGCTGGTATGGGCGGTGGGAGCGAGGGATCGGATTGGAACCTTTTCGTGATATTCTTGGCGATCACGTCTCTTAGGTTGGCCGAATGTTTACCACCAACACCACCGCCGGACGACGACGGTGGCGACGACGAATCGCTTCTGACACTGTTGGTTCGCCCAGGAGACGAGATGTCTTTGGCGCACGCCACCGACTCAAAATCGCCACCCTTACCACCGGGAACTGGCTTGTAAGACGGTATTCTCAGGATGACGTTGGACGGGTTCGAATCGTCGTCGTTGCTGCGACCCGTGTCCATCGGTTCAGATGAACTGCAACCGTTCGACGACCACTGTCTAGGGTCTACCAATTTGTTGCCGTACTGTTGCAAGTGCTGTAGCTGCTGCTGCTGTTCTTCGTCCAGTATTTTGCGCATCAAGTCCTTGACGGTGAAGTCTTTGAATAATTCTTGCTGGTGGTGAGCCACTGACATGTGCTGCTGTTGCTGCTGCGATGGTGGCGGCGGCGGTGGAGGTGGTGGACTGCCATGAGATTGCAAGTGCGGCGACCTCAATCCGGCCGTAGGCGACGCGGCCACCACCGACGAGGACAACAAGTGCGACAGATACGTTCCCATGTGTTGAGGGTCCAAGGCCGCCGCCGCTGCTGCAGCGGCTGCAGCCGCCGGCCATAGATCCGCAGTTATGGGCAGCGGAAACCTGGTGGCGGCCGTAGCGGCGGCGGCGGCGGCGGCGGTGGACGGCGGCGATGGCGATCGGCCGTCCACCGGTACGTCGCGTCCCCGATAATGCGACTCCGGTCTGTTGTGCAGCAGTTTGTTGTTGGCGTAATGCTGCAGGAACAGCCGGAGCGTCTCGGCGTTGGGCATGGTCGCGGCCGCCTGCTGCTGTTGTTCCGCCGTGATCCGCAACAAGTCTTCGACCGTCATGTACGACGACGGCGTCCTGGGCTGTTGGCCGCGGTGCTGCGGCGGCGGCGGCGGTTGTTGTTGTTGGTGTGGCGCGTGGTGGTGGTCCTTGCCGTCCGCCGTCGCTCTGTTCGTGCATTCGTCTTCGACCGACGCCGTTTCCCTGTCCTCGTCGTCGTCGTCCTCGACCAGCATCGGCATCATCTCGGCGGTCTGTCCGTTGGACGGGTCGTCTCCGACCGCCGACGCGTCCCTGACGGCCACTCCGCCGCCAGCGCCGCCGCCGGCGCTGTCCCGTTCCAGCGCCATCTTGTACACCTTGTTCCGCAACGTCGACCTGGGTATGCCGTATATGACGGCCGCCCGCCTTGTGCCCAACTTGCCGCTCTGGATGTCTCGAAGCGCTTTTTGCAACTCGTCCTCTGTGTAAGTCTTCCGGCCGGCAATGTGACTCGGCTGTTTCACCGTCCTCGATCTGCAAAATCGAATCGTAGGGTTTTAACAGCGCAATAGGTATCGGCGTTGCGACGCAGCAACTCTCATCACGCGCAAAAACGTTTACCTACTAATCAAACGCGCGCACGATATATATTATATTATTATTATTATTATTATTATTATCGGTCTAGACCGTTGTCGCAAAGTGTTCGAGTCGACGACCTCGACGGAGTCTAACAGAAATCTGACGACGGGGTAGGCCGAGAAATCGTATTTATGGTGCCGATATTTGACGCGCGACGTTTCAAAGATCTATAAGACGTTTAACACTGTCTTAGACACGTACGTACCACGAATGGTAGGTACACGTCGGACGCCATCGTATAATACGCGCTGTAAACTGTAAACCCTAGTGAAATAAAGAACTTTTATCCTGCGCGGCTATTATAGTAGGTACGTTGTTTTCACTAATCGTCGACAACCGCTTTTTTATAACCGCTTTGAATACTGTGCACAATTTTGACGTTCAAACACGAATGTTTAATGACGAAAATGCAAATACATAATATCATAAATAGAAATTTAAATACCAGCGCTGTGCAGGTAACGACATCTATTAACGCGAATTTCGTGTATTCATATTACCTATAAATAATATATGACGCGTGTAATGTGTAAATTCACTAAATCTCCACAACGTCATATTACCTCGTCGTTAACAGACGGATTATCGCATTACCAAGCGTACTATTTAGATAGTCGTATAGTGAAAAAATACAACGACCGTGTTCTAAATAAATTAGATGTAAATATCGTAATTATATAAGCCAAAATTAGGTTAATCGAATAATATACGAGTATTGTGCACAGTTATGAAATACCGACCAGTGGGATTTGGCCTGTGTTCCGATTTGAATGCAACGTGTACCATAGACAGACCACCGACCGTGTACATATTTTAAAAATGCATCTCATCAACGAAATCCGACATCTGTATGCCACAAACTCCGTGTACTGTATATACGTATACATCCACGCACTCGTAAAACCAAAACAAGTACTTATTACGGGCATAAATCATTTTTAAAGTGTACACATTTACATGTACACCACATATACATACAACTACTGCAACGTGTGGCCGCGTGCCGTTTAACAACAACAACGTCAATAATAAACTGTAATATTTAACCACACGATAATTGCCAGCTGGAATAAATTATATTTTTTCATCAGTATGTTAATTCGTCGATGCAAATCACAATAACGAAACACGTCTTGTCGATTCGATCGGACGAAAAATGGCAGTAGACAAATACGCGTTTTCAATACAACTGAAACGAAATATTTTGAAGGGTCATTTAGAACATTGCCCCGAAGAATATAACCTCCGAGGTGGTCTATACTCAATAACGAATAAAATTTTTAATAATGAAACATCATATGGCATACACCTGCGGAAGTGGAACCGAATCGGACGAGTAGGCACACTGCATGTCGACAAGACTTGTCCGCGGTAGTTAATCAGTGTAATATATACAAACATCACAAACAAGAAGATATAAATCGCCTACACGGGTGTACAAGTCTTAACTAACGTTAACGTTAACACGGTCACTCACTTAAGCGCGTTCCGGTTGTTGGGGGTTACCATGGGCACATTGAGCGTTGGGTGCGGTAGGAACGTGGACGTGCTAGGTAACAGGTCGCGCAGCTGGTTCACCATGTCCGTGGCGATGAGATCTGACGTGAACGGGTTGATGGCGACGGCGGGAGCGACGGTGGCTGGCACGTTTTTCAGCTCGGACGACGGCGTAGACGTCGAGCTCGGACACGACGGCGTGGACGACGACGAAGCGTTGCCGCTGACGTTGTTGTTGTTGTTGCTCTTGGCGCTGAGATCAAGCGGTTGATCGAGCGACTGGTGTTGTTGTTGCTGCTGCTGATTGTTGTGACGGTGGGCGGGAGGCGACTTGCAGCCGGTGGTCGCCGACGTCGCGGCCGCGGCCGCGGCTGCTGCCGCCGCCGCAGCGGCCGTCGTCTCTTGCAGCCTCAGCGTGGCGGCGGCCAAAAGCCATTTCGGCAGGCCGGCGGCCGCGGCCTCAAGCGCGGTGGGCGACGGTGGCCCGCCAGCCGGTGTCATCGTCGTCGTGGACGATGACGACGACGAGTTGTTCATTGACGCGACCGCGGCCATTGCGGCGGCGGCAGCGCCGTGGGGTTGGAGGCACAATAGCAGTGGCGGTGGTGGTGGCGACCGATCATCGGCGCAACACGGCTCTGATGCCGCCGTCGGCGGTATGGAACACGACCGCCTGCCCGGTTCCGGTTCCGGACTCTCTGCGCTGCGACTGCCGCCGCTCAAGCTTCCCGTTTCAGACGATGGCTCCTGCGAACACGGCACATAGTTTTTAAGTACACATTATTATAATGTTGTATATTGATATTACGTATATTGGACGGTAATTTACTAATTTATAAATATTTTTTAAAACAGTAATCGAATTGCCGTTGTACAGTTTTGAAACAAACTATATATTATATCACCCGCTTAATTAATTAATTTTTATTTTGTAACTTTCTATTGTATAAATACGAAAATCTCCAGGGTGTTGATATCATATCACCAATTAAGTCTGAATGGTAATCGATAAATGAATATGATCGTATCTCACGATAAGTATTAATAGAACTGGCTAAAAAATAGAGACAAGTCATTAACTTCGAGAGTACAAAAATAATACAATATAGCAGTTTTAGTGCGTGTCGACAAAAATATGAAACGCAATAAATGTGATTCCCTTATCGTTAAATATTCAAAATGTGTTAGTCTAGGAATAGTCACAGTACAGAAAAGGAAAACAAATTAATATCGAAAATATGTAACACTAATTAAGGGAAATATGTCGTTACTATTATATAAACGATTAATAAATACAGATATTCTATTTCACATCATTAATAATTTTCTAGCCGTTAACATAGATTATTATATGTGTTTCGTAGAGATCTCGTTGAAGGAACGTAGGATAAAACAATTTTCAGTATATCATTGTTTTAAGCTATCGATTATAATATGTGCATCGAAAAGAATTTTTTCGAGTAGGAAGATCAAAATAATGTTTTAGATAAGTATTTTATACGTTATGCATTGGCTACAACGTATTTCACAGAATTATACCTACCATTTATGTTGCCTGACACACATTTTTTAACAACGATTATAGCGAGGAATTCATTACTTCTTGGATCCCGCAGGGATGTACTGCAATTTTCTCATATTCAGGATATTATTTTACTCCTAAAGGTATAAAATTCCTAACATGAATATCGAGAGGTTGGGGAGGTTTAAATGTACCAGAAAAGCAATACCTCTTCGCGGTACTACAAGATTCCTAGGATTCATTGCACTGTAGACAAAACAAAAAAAAAAAAATTGGACAATTTTTGCTGAAGGCCTTCGACACATAAATGATAAGAATCTGAAATGAATCCGACGAAACTGCTGCTGATTGGTTTTTATCGTTTTAAAGCGAATCGATTATAATACATTATTATTTTATATAAACGACTCCATATCACGCGGTACATACGTGTAACAATAACGATAATAACAATCCGGCAAAAACCACATAGATTTATATATATATTATTAAAGGAAACGCCAAATCAGGCGATCAGATTCAGGTATCTACTCGTGATAATAATTGCATATTGTTTCAGGGATAAATAATGTATCAGCGCACAAGCGAAACTTTTCCGAGTCACGAAACATCTCCGAGATACGGTCAAAAGTTTAGAGTATAAAATATTCTACACGACAAATTCCTATAGCAGCGAGTTAAAATCGACGCATAAATATGCCGGTGAATTCGAAGGACTCTACTTCATCAGCTGCAGTTAATGCGGCACTTTTCTGTGATAATTATAATATGGGTAAAATATATACAGTAGCCTCGACTATAAAGCTATAATATTATCGACTATACTATGAACAAAAATAATAACTCATACCGATAAAATTAGATCAAACATATTATACACATTAAACAAAAATTTAATCAGTATCAATTATTTTTTAGATACTAAGTATACTTGTAAACTGAAACTATATAGTTTTGACATCCACGTATAGGTAAACGATTTTATTGTTAAAATAATAATATGCCTGAAGTATAGTCGCTTTCCAAAAGTAATTATTTAGCAATAATTGTTTAATAAATCAATTTATATTATATAGTAAAATAAACGTAACATTATGCAAAAACTAGCTGAATTACCCGGCTTCGCCCGTGTGTATTTTTGTCGATAAACTTCTCGGAACAATTCATATCTACACGCCGCACGGTTGGTATAGGTATATAATTAATGAATAATTGAAATTATTAATTAATCCACTTAAACGCAACATTTTTTAAAATCCTTTCTTATAGCACGGTAAAATTATTAGAGAAACCACTAATGCAAATTTCAAGTTCGTAGGTTGAATAGTTTTTGAGCTACAGCGATTAGTGAATGGGGTATTTGGATTTTATATGTTTAGATAAATCTCGATTTAAAAAAATTTTTGAAATATAAAATCGTCTTTTTTTCTTTGATGATTTGCGCAATTGTGACAGTGTATCTATTAAATTATTGTATTAAAAATAAGAAAAAAAAACGTTATTTGCTAAATATTGTATCATTGATTTATATTTTTTAAATTTAGATTTAATGGAGGAAATTTTTTTAAAGTTTTATCAATTGTTATATTGTTTGATCAAATATTTATAAAAATAATATAAATTTAAATACATTGATAATTAAAAAATGAACTCAAAGGTTTACTGATTTTAATAAATTATTAATTTTAAATTTAATATTTTTCAACAGTTTTATTAAGATGATTAAATAATGAATTTTTTTATGTCTACTTAATAATAAAAATATATCCAGCTGATTAATATTGAATCATGTTATACATTGGAAATTAATTAGTATTAATACTAAATACTTAGATACAATTTAGTAATTTATTAAACGAATTTCAAGCAAATCCGCCGTACTTGTAACTATTTAATACATTACATAAATTATAAAATAATTAATAAGTAGAATATTATATAGATGGGAACGATATATTGTGGATATTATAGATTGAACTACACACCTTAGTATAGTTCCTATACAGTACTCACTGTAATATTATACGTTAATTATAATATTTTTCTTAATAATTACAATTTTCATAATTTTTTCATACATACTATAATGTTTTATTACTTTCCCTTTTTAACATGTTATGTTGAAAATCATTAGCACATTTAATACAATATTGAACTTAATATTAAAGTGCAATTTTAATGCATACACTTTTAAATTAATTAATAATTATATTGATAATAAATTGAAGTAGGTAGGTACACCGTATTTCTTTTAGATAATCTTGGTACTACAGTCGTATATTCGTATATTTGTTTTAAATTATAAATTATAATACACCAAATTACGGCTCGATGATTTTTGATCATCCAAACAAGTTTATTAATTGAATACTTAAATACTTTACATATTGATATTATCAATACGTTAGGCATTATAATATCTATACATACCGAAACAAATTTCATGTATAAACACATATATTATGAAGCATTTCAGAATTCACGAATAAACACATAAGTACTATACATGGACAATATTTGCGCATCAAAGTCAAATTGAACTACTTTCAATGAAGTTCAATTTGGATCAAACGAATCAAAAAATAATGTTCAACTTAATAATTTTAAACTTTTCTGCAGTAAAAATCATTTTGTCGTATTATAATAAATGAAAATTACATAGCTAATTTTATGAAACCTAACAAAGTAATATTATAGTATAAAAATAAAAAAAAATTAATGCGATTGCTAATTAAATTTAAAAATATCAACTTACGTCAGACACTCGAGATTACAGAGTGACAATGTTTATCATGATTAAACTGGGTTGACCTTAGGTATATTATACAGCCTACCGTGTACTTGCGTATTTAATAAAATTGTATGCGGTATCGAGGTAATAATGATACTCTAAAAGGAGAAGTATATGGGTACGTACTTACTTATTATGTATAGTGTTTGCTGTGTATATATATTGTATATAGTATATACTTAACAATAACTTGTAATTTGTAAGATATGTTTCTGTAATTATTTCCAGTAATTCACTTTATTTTTATTATTATTATTATTATTATTGTACTATATGCATAGTGCATACAGTCTGATACATCCACGATTCACGACGTGTAGTTGGATATATAATAATATATTGTATTATGGTCGTGGTGGTCGTTCAATAAACTATACTTGTGTTTTGTATTTATTTAATGTTTACAACTGCGAACGTGCAATGCAAACGCGCGTTGTTTTAGTTTAGATAATACAAACCGAACGAATGAACACGTGATTTTTCTTTAACATGATATCCGATTGTCGGTATACACGCGTTAGGTATAATATATATATATATAAATACATACACAATTTATGCGAATAAAAAGACCGCGAAACGTTTTCTTTTGTAACACATTATTCCGGAGTTTTACAATTTATGAATAAAACAAAAATAAAAAAATAAAAATACGACCATGAATAATAATAATTTCTCAGGAGCGCCTAACCTCCTATCAGAGGTTAAAAACAAATGAATAAAATGGTGTACGCATGACGACCACGCGAAATGTAGGTCATTCGGAAACGATGACAAGTGGACTTGATCGTATATACCTATATATATATATATATATTTATATGTTATATTTATATGTGTGCGTGTGTGTGGACTGTTGCCGTTTAAAAGGTAAATGTCCCACTGAAAAACTTCGTGAACTTCCGCACGTTGCAGTTATACAACAACAATAATATTCTAATACACATCACAAGTAGCATGATAGTACATTGTTCTCAATTACGGCGTCGAATTCAAAATTAGTTATATTATTTAACTGTTGTACACGCATACACATATTATAGTTTTTTTTTATGCACTGATGTACTAAATTGTACTCGTATATAGGTATAAACATAATATGTTACAAAATAAACTGTATATTTTACCCCGTATCAGTCTTGTGTTTGCTATGCGTCAGAGGAATATATTTAGATTTTATAAATAGAAATAAAAACGATAGTTCATTTAACTTCTAATGCATATATTATCATGTAATAATTATACAAAAATTAATAATTAATTAAAACTATAGTTCTATAGGTTTAACAATAATCCTAAAAAGAAGAACAGAAAAAAATCATAACTTATTATTTGGTAAAATTGTATTTGAGTCAAATATTTTTGAAAATATATTACCTGCATTAATAATGATTTATATTAGTTCATTGCTATTTCTACTCACATTAAAAAATGTTCGATATTAAATATTTGGATGTATTACAGCACACAGATAAACGATAAGCCGCCACTGATATTAAGTATATTATAATCATTGACAATATTACAACATTTTAAACCAGTAATGTATGAGTAGTTATTGTTAACAGATATAAGTTTATATTTACAAGTTAAGGTCAAAAGACTATAATTAATATACATTAGTTTAAAATAATAAATAAAAATGTATAATTGTTTACTAAACTTATTTAAATTTTTACTAAATAAATTTATTAAATATTTAAATAAAATACCGCACAGCGCTGAGTATTGCTTTTGTTACCTTTAGGCTATAACACCAATTTTCGTCAATTTTGATATAGCTAAATTATAGTAATACTATGCACGTGAAATAATTTAAAATATTCATCAGTAAGTAAACTTAACCCAAATAATAAGAAAATTATGATTATTATATCGATCACTTTAGCACATTCTGTTTACGAGTGTCGGAGAATCTTCGTAAAAATCAAAACTATAGTATCCATGCAGGTCCATGATGATTAGCCAAATCTAAAATTATACTGCGATACTCCCTATTGTTATCTTTCGTTTGAATTAAAATCCATTTAAAAATCATTCATATGAAACTCAAAACATCCAAAGGAAATCCAAGTTTACAATCACACATAGAAACAAAAACAAAAAATAAACACTTATCACGATCTTGATTATCACAAGACATACACTTCTATTAGATGACATTGAAAACTAACAACGAATAATATTATGCTGCATTACACACAAACTTAATCTTGTATAATATTAATTAATCCTATATATTTATTGTCACTAATTAGAACAAACGCATTTTTTTTTCACACTTTGCAGTATTTTAAATTGCTAAATTTGTAATAGCAAACTATTATATTATATTCAATGGAATATAATAATGCTTTTAAACGTCAATTTTTAGACTTTTAAGAACAAAAGTTTAATGTTAAGATAAAATAATTTTTCCTACTATTAGGTAGATAAGAAGAAGGAGGTATAACTACCTCATTATCCTTTTCCCACCACAATTTAAATTCAAAAATTCGCCATTACTCGTCGCAATAATAAGATAATTAATAATATCAGGTATAAATTTGCATAATTACCAGTTCTGCAGGTGAGTGATCCGCTATACTCAGGTCTGTGTTCACATCACATGAATTAAACGTTTTGACGGGAACCCATTCTCTCCGATCCATTAATTCCTCTTCTAGTAAATAATTTTTCGCCAAAATGTCTTGATACTGGTGCCATTTTCTTCTTCCCATTAACTCTTCAGCGATCCTTTCCAACCCTGTGAACATAATGAACGGGTGACGTTGTTACTCACAATAGCCACAGTAATAATAATAACAATATAAATTATACTATAAGAAGTAACGATAGCGGTCTGCGTAGCGTATGCAACAAAAAGTGTATTGCATTAAATATGCATTAAATATATAATATGAGCTCAGCGCGACAAACTAGAATTTCCAGAAATAAAATCGGAGCGCACATACGAAATTGTAATACTGCACTGTTCGTTATATACGACCTATTTAATATTTAGATACCAGATATGTATATTGTATACCTATATGCACTGTAACAACACACACGCACATACTGCACGTCATAATATTATGTTTTATATTATATGTAGGTACATATACAGTGTACTATTTCAGGATTGTTTTCGACTGATTTGGTCCACGAATTTTCTATATTCACTTAAACAAAAAATAAAAAATAATCTAATGTAACGCTATAAATCCGGTCTGTGATAATATTTATATACAAAATACAAATGATAATGGTAGTATGCCGTGAAAAAATGTGTTTTATCGATAATATTAATTATAAAAATTAGTCATAACAAACAAAATTGTATGATTATAATAATTATTAATTTTAGAGAAACTTTAAGATCTAACACAATAGATAATGCCACCTTTATTAACATCATGTTTTAAATACAATAGCAAAATAGCTGTTATATGATATTACAATTTTTTTCTAGGTTCTGTGGTACTTATACAATTTTGTTTGGCCGTTATAATCTAATATAATGCTTATCCTATTGCTAAATATACCTGCTTATCGACCATATTTCAATGTCTATACTTGCAAAGACGTTGAATGGATTATAATTTTTTTTAGTACTGACTATCATACATTATTATCTGATTAAATGTAAATATCTCACTATACCTATTACATTACAAGTATAATATAATACAGGAAAATTTAACAATATAGTGCAGCTATCGTAATATCCTATCTATACTATCTAATACCTCTGGTAACTGTACATGTATAACAACATGCGTATATCATGAATACACGATTACAGAGTATATAATAATAATTTAAATTTGTAGCCTTATCTCACAGTAGATTATTAAATTGTATAATTTTCAGCGTTTCAGATTATTCTGATCAACGAAATGCTGAAAGGATATATATTATTATTACATATTATCTTCGAAAAGAAGTATTTTTTTTAATATTTCTGTACGAGATTAAACACATTCCATTGTGATTTATATAATTTGAGTATAATTTTCTATTTTTTTTTCACGGTGTGTGTGTGTGTAAGATAGAAAAAGATGCCACTGTCTAAATAGTCAAAATTTGCATAATATACAAACAAGTAAATAAGAAATATTAAATGCGACGTAGGTATCTTACGTTACCATATTATATTTACAGGAAAATAAATACAATATTAAACTAGGTATATATAAGCTATAAATTAATGTATAAAATTCAAAACAAATATCAGAATTCAGCATCATATTTATATTTAAGCACATTGCCAGAGACTTGTTTACTACGTCCATCGTAGTCGATTGTTATTTATACTAATAAAATATAAAAGTATATATATATAATATATCATATAAATACATTAAATATCCCATTGCACCTATAGTGTAAGATAATATATTTTTGAAAGTTTCTTATTGGTAATATTATATATTATATTAATACGTATGTTTAATGTGTTATACGAGTGGCTAACTGCAGTTAGTGTAAGAAATTGGGGTATAACTAAACATTAATATTTAAGAATAAGAATTATTATATTACTCTATAAATTAATCTGATATGAATATATAAAAAGGTGAAAGTAAGCAATCCTCAAGTGCGATCAATTTTCCAAGTATAATCTATACTTTATAGATATACCTTATTTTTAAGTTTATTTAACCAGATTGTTTATCATCGATATTGCAATAAGTTTTAAGTTAACACAATTTCAGTTTAGATCATAATACATAAACATATTAGGTAAATTTACATAGATATTATAAATGTATATTTCATAATACAGTAACGAATATATCGCTAAATCGGAGGTGACTATAATAATAGCATAATAATAATTCTTTATTTTTTTACTGTGTTAAATTTATATTATAATCAATTTATAATGTAAATTGCAATCCCATACTACGCGTAAAATTTAAAATTTTTAGTGTTATTACGAATTTTTCAATAAAAAAATAACAAGGAAAATAATTTATTACTACTGGTTCAGCTGCGACAGGTGATAAAACTGATCGAACCAAATGCTCATAGGTACTCATATGAATATTCAATTTAAAGTCAAACCACGTTTGATAAAAAAAAATAAATAAATAAATAAAATAAAAAATGAATATTTGTTCGTAAAATCTAAAATAAAAATACCAAACCTTACTTTTACACATACCTAAATCTATTCAAACGGATACTTAATATATATAGTAATCGTATACGAATTAAAAAAAAAAACTATCTGATATTTAAGCTTTATTATAGATATTATTATTATACCATGTATAACTCAATGATGTACTATAATAATTGTATTATTCAATAATATTTTTTTCTAAGAGGGATAGAAGACTGCGAATAAAAAAACATTAGGTATAATATCATAACATAGTTTTTATTTATATAGATACAGCGTTATTCTACCGCTCTGGGTGAAAATACTATGCGTCAGCTTTCCCGACGGTATTCGTTTATAATAATAAATAGGATGTATGTATAGGTACAACGCGATATATATAGGAATACTCCTAGAATATATAATGAAGACAACGAAAATATATCAGTAAAAAACACATTTATATGGACATGTTTTGTGTTAGATATGGTGACAGATTATGGTAACTTAAATACCTATATATATATGAGTATTGCCATATTACGTATAGTTATGCGTGGTTTATCTACGGATGAATCGTCTCGTCGTCGTTTATATTATTTATAGGTATTATAAATACGATAAGTATAGTAATATTTTACTTATTATTATAATATTAGGTATATATTTAACTCAGACACGGGAAAAAGACACGATAATAATAGGCGTGTCGTGTGATTGTCGAATGTCGGTCAATTACATACCCTGTCCACCATCTTCTCAACGATGGCTGAGTTATATAGGTACACGATATTGCCTGCTATGAGTGCTATGTATATATACATTTATTATATAGGCGTATATCACCTGTACGACTGTACACATATACATATTTATTATTATTAGATATATTACGTGTGCCCTATCGTGGCCGTAGCCATCTAAATCACGTGCGTGTCCGGGCGGCGATAGACAGGTATGTATGTAAAAAAAAAAAAAAAAAATAGAAAGGAATTAATGACATTCCGTTTACGTTTAATGTAATTCAATTAAAAAAAAAAAAACTCGGCGGTGGCGGCGTCGGCGGAATGAACGCCGGCGCGCGCGATACGCGCACAAACAGATACGCGAGGCCTATATAACATAGTATTATTACTACTATTTCTATTAGTATTATTATTATTATATGTACGTGAAAACCGGGACCATGACGACGACCATTTTGAAAATGAGGCGGTGCGTTTGTCGTTTAACGTAGACCGGTTCGCCATCGATTGGTCAAATCCGATTCAAGCCTATATACGCACATATTATATTATTATACATATATAATAGTACCTGTATTTACCTGTTTCGGCCAAGGTGGCGTTTCATATTATGTATTAATGTGTGCGTGTGTGCGTGTGCCTATATTGCCTATATTTGTGCAGCTTACCCGAGGTATATATGTATTTATTGTACCTATAGATGTGTAGGCAGGTATGTATAAATCTCATGTAACATCTATATACCGACTTCGGTGACCCCAAATAGAATCGGACTGGACGAATCGACGTCGGAAGGCATTATCTCCCTCCCCCAAAAGTCACAAACTAAATAACAGTGCTGTGGTTACAAGACGCTTATATAATAACACGTTCAAAGTAAATAAGAAATACGTATATGTGCGCCTATATTAAAGCTATATAATATAACATAATAGACAAGCTGTGCATATATATATACAGCTGTAGCAACGTTCTGAGAACCGGCAACCATGCCTCATTGCATGAGAAAATGGGGAAAAAATATAATATTTTATGCGACGATCGTTCGATGCAATATTGTTATAGGTAGGTATATAGGGAAAGAACTGGTTTTTTATTTACGTCGTGTGTGCCGTTCAACTGACAGCCAAGGATTAATGTAAAAGCCAAACGCTGAACACAATCGCTGTTCGATTAAAAACGCCTAAAACGAACATGGAAAACACGTAGATACTTAAAATATGTCATGCTAGTGCATATATATAGATAGGTATCTATACTATATGTATACCCTATACACTCTATAATAGTATATAATCTCGTTATCCAATCGTTTCGTTTCAGACCTTCAGTTCTGACTGCGCTGCGGCCTATGAAAACCCACCGATCGACTGCACGATTACGTGCTGCTGCAACATTTATTATAACGTGCGGTCGGAAAAGGCGATTGCATTTAGTATATAGTTACACACATAACATATCATATTGTGTGGGTGAAAAGTCAAAAAACCTAATAGACCTCCCTCCATGAGACTATATAGGGAGTGAGTAAAAAAACCATCATATTTTATGTCATATAGATACCTATACATTCATATAGTAATATATCATGGATGTAAACATATCTCCCGCCAAAACAACCATATTCATAACATGTATGTAATTATAAAAAGTTATCAGTATATAATATATATATATTGCAATGTACATTTTTTTATTCTAAATATAGCTTCATTCATCATTTCTTTCGTTGACTTGTTTCACCTACGAATTGATTGCGTATGTATTCTATGTATAATATATTAATATATGTATATATTTGTTTATACAAAACAAATGCAATATTACAATAAATGTTTTGGTTATAAACCAAATCGATCTCGTCGCACACGGTTCATAACAGTAATAAATAAATTGTTGACTTTGTAT